GGGGCGGGGTGGGGCCCAGGTGCACCCTGCGGCCTGCGGCGCACGCGTTCGCCCCTCGGACAGCCGGCGGGGCGGACCCAGCCCGACCGGTGGTGTGGCGGGCACAAGTCACAATGACATCTGGGTAATGAGAGCTGCCGAGCTGCCGCTGCTGCCGCCTCCGCCGGACATGCATCGTGTGCGCTGCACCCCTGTCGTTCAGAGAGGAAGTGGACTGTGTTTAAGAAAAACATGTCTGCCCTGCTGCGTTTCAGGTGGTACAGATTGAAATAAATGTGTGTGTGTGTGTGTTTTTTCTTCTTCAGATTTTCCAATGAAGTTTGTGCTCTTTTGTTTCTATTGTTAAATTAGCAATTGCATAAACGGATGGGCCACAAAAATGTTCTGTGGCTGCGGGCGCGTGGTGCTCTGGAAATGCAATCAAATAAAAACACCAAGTTGCATTTTAAAAAGAAATAAAAGGCGTTTTATACTTTCACTCGCACTAATAATAAGTCACACCGCAAACCAGAGCCGTAAAATCTGCCTCCCCCCTCCCCTGCCGCCGAACTGGTTCGATCTCCTTTTGAATTCCGATCTGCGCTTCTCCGCCCCGCCACGCCGCCGAGCTCCTTCTCCTCCCCTTCTTCTTCTTCTCGCCTTCCAGACGGTGTAACTAAATCAAACAGGATCAAACTTGCGCTTTTCAATTCCCCGCTCTCCCCTCCCCGCGCGCCTTCCCTTTCTCCACAACCCCCACCTATCACACACACACACACACACACACACACACAAGCGAATGCATACCTACACACATACACACAGACTCAGACGACGGGAAGAGGGAGAGGGGGAGGGAACAGGGGTGGAAAGGTGGGGGGGGGGGACACGTACTACTACTACTATACGCACGCTGCCACACACACACACTCTCACTCACACAATGGGCCGGGGGAGCAGATGTTCGGTGCATGAGAACCCCAGGTGCCAATCAGCGACTCCGGGGCCAGCCGGCCTGCCTGCCCAGGTAAGGACCCCCCCCCCCCTTTTTCCCCGCTCCGGGGTGGTGTGTGGTGGCAGCTCCCTTCCTCCACCCGGAGCGCTGGCATCGCCGGCTGCGTCCGGAGTGGCCGCGCACCCCGAGGAGAGGCCGCGCCCCTGCCCGCCCTGCCCCTGCCCGCCGCGGACGCAGCCCTGCCGGCAGCGCTCCGGCTGCACCCAGCCGAGCGCCGGGTGGCCTACCCTCCGCTGGGCCGGGCGGCGGCGGAGGCCGGCCACGGCCACGCCTCAACACCACCCCAGCCCCAGCCAGTCGCGGGCGGACGAGCGAGCCGGCAGGTCGTGTGTGTGAGCGTGCGTCCCCCTCGCGCGTGTCCCCGCCGCCTTCGAGACCGCCCCGCCGGCCGGCCCTGCCCCACGTGGTCACCGTCCCTCGAACATGTTGTGACCCTCGGCCAGGAGTGACACAGGATGGACTTGCTGTGCGCCGAGGAACTGGGCAGCGAGCGCCTGTGCGCCTCCCTGGGGGACCTGCAGCAGGACCTGCAGGAGAACCAGCCGCCCCGGCACCAGCCGCAACCCTTGCACTCGCAGACCGCCGGCAGGGACGCCGTCATCTTCGAGGACTCGCGCGTCCTGCAGAACCTCCTGGACCTGGAGGCCGTGTACGTGCCGCCCTGCAACTACTTCGTCGTGGTGCAGCGCGACATCCAGCCCTACATGCGCAAGGTCGTCTCCACGTGGATGCTGGAGGTGAGTTGACTGGCAGGGTGACAGTGCGACGACGAGGTCGCGTAGCTCGTCACAGCTTTGTGAAACCTTAAGTTTCTGCAGTGCTCGAGTTGCAGGCGGCGAATGCGCAGCACTGCGCAGCAGACGACGCTCGGCTTGCGATGTACTGTTTTGACAGGAACTCGACTGACACGCCGCCGACGCGCCGCCCCCACCAGAAGCTGTCCTCCCTCCTCTCCTCGACGCGTCCGCCGCCGTACCGCGGTGTTCCTGCGACCCCACCCCGCCCCGCCGCGCTCCGCCCCGCTGACTCGAGTCTCCCGTGTCGTCGTCGTCCGCTTCTTTGATTTCTGCCGACTCAGTCCATTCCGTCCTCCTGCCCGAGTCCAGCGCTCCGCACTACGCCGTCGTCGTGCGGAGTGCGCCCTCCCGTATGTTTAAAGCTGGTCCTCGACTATTACGAGTAATGTTTTCATAAATACATAGGAAGTCAAAAATACTCCGTTTTTAAGGGAAAAAAATTATGACGTGACTATCGGAACGCAATCGCTTCACCAGGTAGTGCACGTAGAACCAAAATTTTGATAATATTTGCGCTGCAACAAGGCACGCCGCTCCACGTGGTCCCGTCGTCGTGCCTGGTTAGTCCAATCCGCAGTCCTCCGCCCATCTGAGCCTGCCAATGCCTCTGTGCAGATCGGATTTGCGGCAAGTTTTGTGAATAGGTTTTTTCTTTACTTAGTTCGCGGTCTGGGGGAAACAGTCTAGCTAAAGCAGCTACAACGTTAAGCTCTGTTCCTTAAACCAGTATCTAAAACTAGCTAAATTTTGCCCAGATTTTTTTTTCTCGCTTTCTGGGTCCGCGCGGGGGAAGGAGGAGGAGAAGAAGGAGGACTGAATGGGAGTGGAAGAAGGTAGGCAAGATGGGGAGGGGAGGAGGGGAGGGGTGCTGCAGCGCTGCAGGTAGAACGACGTCTCACCGTGCGGTACGCTGCATTGGCTGAGCTGCATTCGTTTTCTTCGCCCCCCCCTCCCCCTTTTGCCCCCACCTTTCTTCTTCTTCCCTCCCCCTCAAAACGGCTAATCCATTATAAAAGCCACACCCTCCCCCCTCCCACCCTTCCCCTCTCCTCTCGCCGGCCGCCTTGGCCGCTCCTTGGAGGGGTGGTGCCCGGGGGTTGACTAGGTCAGTGACTAACCCCATTGTTTTCTGTTAACGGTCCCCGACTGGTCCCCGAGAGCACGACGGCGGCACGAAGCGGGGCGGGGGTTGTTGCCTTTGGCGTCGGCCGCGACGTCGTCTTGGCGTCGCGTCGCCCGGGCGTCGCCCGGGCTGGGCATCGCTCGTGTTCCTCGTCGTTTAGGGTCGTTATAGTTTTGACTGCCGCGTCTTTTGCGTCGCGGGCGGCAGCTGAGCTGACTGAGCCCTGACTGAACACAACGCAACAACGTCATTTCTCGTTTATCATTACCGTTAAATTAACCTATCCTCGTAAATGTAATATCTCATTCTGTTTATGCAAGTGACATTTTACTTTTCCCTTTTGAACAAAACATGTGCAAAAGTATTTTTCTTGTTAGTGTGAAAAAATTTATGGGTCGCGGCCCGGGACATCATACTATTTTTTTTTCGTTCGAAAAAATAATTCTTTCTATATTTTGCTGCGGGCGATATGTGCAATAATATGCGATTGCTTCGCTTTTTATTTTCCTCTTTCTCTCCTTTACAAAGATTTTTTTATCGTCTGCTGCTTTGCTCCTCAACAAGTAGAACAACAGGCGAGAGTGCATGCGGTTGGCACCCCCCCCCCCTCCTCCTTTTCCCTGGCTGCCCTTTCCGGCCCCGCACCCCCTTGCCTCGCGTGACCCCGCCGGCCGCGCCCGCCCCGCCTCGCCACCCCTGAGCGGAGCGGAGCTGGGCTGGTGGTGTTAGTCGCAACCGTCAAATTCGGTTGTTGCGTTCCAGAACACACACCGGCCGGCCCAAAATCAATCCCCTCCCCCCTTTTTAAGATATATATCTCTCTCCCTCTCTCTCACTATCTCTTTCTCGTCTCGCTTCAACTTTACTTTTTTCGAGCGACGAGTAATAAGTGTTTGCTATAAGCGTAGTCCATAGCAAGAGGTATGCCATGCAAATTTTTTCGGTCAAATTTTTATCAGCACGGCAGTTGAAATTGTTTTACGCGGGTCGTTGTAGCCTTTTTGCTATACCGGGGGAGCCCTATCCGTTGCCCCAACCCCTCTCCCACGTGCGGGTACGCGAGCCGGGCAGGTGCGCACCAACCCCTGGGGGGGAGGGGGCGTTGACCGTTCAACACGTCACCCCCTCCCCCTCCTCCCATCATTAGATTCCTGCACACTCCCCCCGCTGCTGACCGCTGGATGACACTTCCCCTTGACGAGCGCCGCCCGCACACTCCGCGCGGCGCCCTCGCCCCTACCATCCTCGCCTCCAATGCTAATCCTTTGACCTCCCCACCCCTCCCCCTCTCTTAATAGGTTATTAATCGAGGATTGCTTGTCTGCCCCCCTCTCTCTCGGCGCGCCGCAGGTCTGCGAGGAGCAGCAGTGCGAGGATCAGGTGTTCCCGCTGGCCGTCAACTTCCTGGACCGCTTCCTGTGCGCGTGCTCCATCTCCCGGCGGCAGCTGCAGCTGGCGGCCGCGGTCTGCCTCCTGCTCGCCTCCAAGATCAGGCAGTGCCACGCGCTCAGCGTGGACCTGCTGTGCTTCTACTCGGACCACAGCATCGTGCCGGACGAGCTCCGGGTGAGTAGTCGTCGTGCTGCTGTGGCACTCTGCACCCCAAGTCTCCCGGCGGAGACCTCTTCTCCGCCCCCCGACCCCAGCCCAGCCCCCGCGCACCGGCAGTGAGGAGACGTCCGGCCCGGCGGACAGAAGCAGAGAGGAAGGGGATATCAACAATTTGGGTTGCGGTGAAGGAGTTGGGGGGGGCTCTGTGCACCGGGGTCGGCGGGGTGCACGCGGATGGCCATCAGGGTAAAGAGAGAGAGAGAGAGAGAGAGAGAGAGAAAGAGAAGGGACGGGAAGGAGGAGGAAGGGCCCCTGGAGGAACAGGTGTTGTCGTGGGGGGTGGAGGAGGGGGGCATGCCCGGGCGCATGCGCAGGTCCGGGACGCAGCGGCGGCGGGGAGATGTCAGGGCGGCGATAGCAAGCCGACCGGGGCCGTGAAAATGAGATGATAACGACAGATAACGGGAATTGTCATCATGCGGCGAGTAGTTGAACTCACTCGTGAGGAACGCTTGGCGCGGGGGTAGTAGTATTTCTTTTTAATTTTTGTTCTTACATAACGACGCAATTTTCTAGAAGGTCAAAGTCCTCTGCCCCGTCGTCGTTTATTCGCCGCGACGCAGCCGCGGAGTCAGCGGGTCTTTCCGCCGCTTCAGACACAATCGTTATTCTCGCCCCTCCCGCACTTCTTTTTACGCCACTTTGTGCGGACTTGGCAGCGGAATACATGGCTGCTTTGCTGGTGGGGCGCTGGCGGGGCGGAACGGGATGACGCCGCGCTTCCGTGGCGGCCGCGCGGATAGAAGGGGTGCAGAATGTGCGAAATACGTAAAGGGGACGCGTCCGTCTTTGGCCTTGGCCCCCCTTGAGACCCCCGGTGGGACCTTCGCCACGCCACGGCACGGCACCGCGACACAACGACCTGCCGACCTGCCTTCCACTCGGCTGTTCCGATCCGTCCGGCTCACAATCAGAATCACAGGCGACGACGGGGCAGGTCGTGGTTTCCGACTCACCCACGCGCTGCTACCGCCGCTTGTTCCGGACTCATCTCCCACTTCCTACTCGGTGACGACGGTGACGAGGGCGGCGGTGGCGGCGGCGGCGGCGAGGGGGCGGTGAAAGAAAGAGCCGGTCCCCGTCCGCGCGGACAATGGGAATGGGCCGTCGCCGCCCCCGGCTCCGCCCC